TGCTGTTTTGTTTTGATTTTGGTTGTTTCCATTCTGTGATTTTGATTTCCATTTTTCAATTATTTCTTGTCTGGTTTTACAACCTGTGAAAATTGCTGTATGTTTTTCACCGCAGAAGAAACATTTGAGTTTTCCGAGTGGAACCTTGTTGGTCTCTTTCGATATGTACTGGCACGTTTTCGAGTCATGTTGCTCAGAGCATCTGAAGCAAACGGACGGTTTGTTACAACCGTTTTGTCCATGACCAAACTGCAGACATTTCGAACATTGAGATGGTCCAGCTTGTCTATTTTTGTAGTCAGCCCATTTAATTTTGAAACTGCTGACAATTTTGATTTTTCTGAGGAATTCCAGGAAATTTCCACCTTGTTCTACATCTTTTTTGAAGTACACGAGGTAGTTCTGGTCGTCGTCTTGTTCGTGTCTTTTGTGTTTCATTGTCATTTTGACAATTTTTACTGGTGTGATTTTTACGGTTTGAAGTTCCTTCTCCAACTCACTGATTTCCATATCTGGGAGTCCATAGAGTACGTACTTCTTCAGTGGTTCTTGGCTGGAGTATGTGTGGAAGTGATGCTTTTTGTCTTTGAGTAGTTGGATGAATTTCTCGTAGTAATCCCAACTCTCCGTTGTTACCGTTTTTGTTCCTTGTTTGCCCTTTTTGGTCTCAATTAAGAAACTTCCAGGTTGATTGTTTATTTCATTCGTCAATCTCTTGATTTCACCAGCTCCTCCTGTGCTGATGACAATTGGAGGTGGTTTTGATTTTTGTTGAGATTTGTTGTTGTTGCTTTCCGTGTTTACGGAAATTGTCTTTTGTTGCTCTGATGTTTTGCTGTTTTCTCCCCAGTACGAAGAAGTTGTCGATCTTTTTTTCTCGTGTTCTGGTGAACCAAATAGATACGGTACTCCAGAAGACGAAGCTTTCTTCACTGGTGGGAGTACGAACAGTGGTTTGTTCCCATCTTTTGGTTTGCTTTCGTTTGCTACTCTTTTTAAAAGAGCGTTGGGAACTATCACTTCTCGAGGGCGTTTTTCTGCTTTACTTGCTTCATTGAGAAACTTCTTTATTGATATTTGTTTTTTTGGTTTGAGATTTGTCATCTCAATGTCGGCTGCTTGTGAAACATCTTCACTGAAAATTTCCTCAATATTGAGAATTGTCACTGAAGAAGAATGTTGTTGTTGAGAACTATTAAGTCCATGCTGATTTTGAGAAAGATTTTCTTCGTTGTTGGTAGTTTTTGGTGATGCTACCATTTTGATGTTTTGAGAATCAAACTGAGATTTTGAAACTTTTTGCAAACAAAAAGCTTCTCAGGTAGTCTCTGTTTTGTTTCTTTTGAGATTTTTGAATAATTTGCGGAGCGATTTGTAAACACGTCTGTTCACGTTGTGTGATATCATCAGTTCTACACACTTTATGGCGTCCACCTGGATGGCTGTGAATCACAAGATGAGTCCTAGTCAGCCCCACATTCATTGTTTCTCATGAACAACATGCAAATTGTATCACAATAGAGCATAAAATTCACATATGAGGAGCTAGAAAGTGAGGAAGTGAGATGGAAATATTTGAACATGGTTCATGTCATGCATGAGATTTGGCACGATTATTAAATATTGAATTGGGAATCGGGAGCAACAGACGCTAAAAATGTTAACAAGAAACTTTTGTTGATGTCGAGAAGAATTGAAAGAAATTTATTTTATGTAAATTGTGAGACTGTTTTGTTCTATGGTTCTATGGATTGTGATGATGGTGGGTGGAGATTGGTTCATGAACTTCCACGCTGATTAAGGTTTGCCCGCAAATTGCTCAGGAGTCTCTAAAGTGTCCAGAAATGTCAAGAAACTGTTAAAAATAAAAAAAATACAAATGTGATCAAAAAAGCCACAAATTAATTTCCAGAGCATCCCACCTGGAAGTCCATGACTCATCCTAATAAATTCCCATTCTTAACCTTAGTTTCGCTTACTTTTTATTAATTTCACATTAATCACGTTTTCTATTTCCAAATGACACACGAGTTAAATTCTCCTCAGTCCACAAATTCTCGTTCTTAATTCTCAGTTGCTCGTTGTTCCTCACTAGAAGGCACAAATATACAAAAGAAGAGAATAAGATGAGCTCACAAAGATTGCCTCGAGAAGATAATAAAGTAATTTTCACATTATTATCCATTATGCGACCCCTCAACTTAGTCTTAATTTTAAATGAACTTTTTTTTATTGATTTTTCTTCATGGATAATTTTTTGTTACGTAAGACACAAGTGGAACTGGAAGTGGAAGTTATGAGATGAGAGAAAATATTATTTAAGATAAGAAATTGGGAAAAGAAATGCGCGCATATTTTGTGTAAAAGAACACGAAATTCTGTTGTGGAATTTAATTATTGTTTAGTTTTGAGGGGTGCAAGGGATGGGCACTTGGAGATTTTTTTATATTCAATCTGAGTTATTGGATCGTTAGTGACTTGAGAAGGTCAACTATGATGTCATTATGGTGAATTCAAGGTCATGAGGTCTGCTTTGACGTCATAAGGTTGCCTTTGGTTGATATTAAGTGAATAAGGCAGATTATGATGATTTATTGTCGATTCTGAAGCTTGAAGGTTGTCTTTGAGGTTGATGACGGCCAGTTGGGTCCTAAAGCTATTCATGCTCTTGACTAGCTACCAATAAGTCATTTTTAACCTCGAAATTCTGAACATAACCTCAAAGTGTTGCACATAACCTCAAATTTTTGCAGATAACCTCAAAATGTTGAACATAACCTCAAAATTTTGCAAATAACCTAAAACTACTGCAGATAACCTTGAAATGTTAAACATAACCTCAAATTTGCAGATAACCTCAAAATTTTGGAAATAACCTCAAATTTTTGCAGCTAACCTCAAAATTCTGCACATAACCTTAAAAGTTTGCAAATTACCTCAAAATGTTGCAAATAACCTCAAAATTCTGCAAATAACCTCAAAATTCTGCACATGATCTCAAAAGTTTGAAAATAACCTCAAAGTGTTGCAAATAACCTTAAAATGTTGCACATAACCTCAAAATTCTACACATAACCTCAAAAAACAGAAGCCTTTCCATAAACCTCACAGTACCCATCCCTATGCTCTAATTCCATCACCTCTTATTCTTCCTCAATCCAACACAAATATTCATATTCATCCACATTTCGTGATTATTAATAAATGCATAGTCATATTCAGTCATACAATCTCATGTATGCCGTAAATTTCCTATTTTTTTTCATCCTCTATCATGTTCATAGAATTTCAAATTTCTAACTGTGCCACGACAAGAATCTTCTTACTTCTTATTCATATTCATACCTTTCACATGATACAAATAATAATATTAATAGAATTCACGATGCCTTCATATGGTACAACACATGCATGTAAGATATGAGAATGAAAGTTAAATAAAATTGTTATGTTTAGTCACGAATTTCATTTCGTATTGTAATGATGTATGAAATTATTTTCATTATTATTTTTTTTTTGTTATTAAGCATTGCTCGATTTTTAGTCTTGATGCTACAGTTTGTAAAGAGCATGAAATGCTTGTGGATATTTGATTATTGTTTTTGCGGATTTCAATGGGAATTGTTAGGTATGGATGGAGAAATTTTTGTAGTTGTTCAGATTGTTAGGTTTAAAAATTGCTAATGCAACATTGTTGAGAGATTGATTTATGGAATTTGAGGCTTAACACGAGACTCAACTTGAAGCTTTAGAAGCTTGACTTTCATTTACAGTGTTGCTTTAGAATCTTAACTTCAAGTTAAAGTGTAGCCTTTGAAGCTTGACTTCAAGTTGAAGCATTGCTTTTGAAGCTTGACTTCAAGTTGAAGCGTTGCTTTAGAACTCGACTTAAACTTAAAACGTTACTTTTGAAGTTTAATTTTTAATTTAAAGCGTTGCTTTTGAAGCTTTATTTCAATTTAAAGCATTGCTTTAGAAGCTTGAATTAAACTTAAGGCGTTGATTTAGAAGCTTGACTTGAACCAAAAGCATTACTTTAAAAGCTTGACATAAACTCAAAGCGTTGCTCTTGAAGCTTGGCTTAAACTAAAAGCGTTGCTCTTGAAGCTTGACCTAAACTTAAGGCGTTGCTTTAGAAGCTTGACTTAAACTAAAAGCGTTGCTCTTGATGCTTAACTTTAGTATAAAGCGCTGCTTTAGAGGCTTGACTTAAATTAAAAGCGTTGCTCTTGAAGCTTGACTTAAACTAAAAGCGTTGCTCTTGAAGCTTTACCTAAACTTAAGGCGTTGCTTTAGAAGCTTGACTTACACTAAAAGCGTTAATCTTGAAGCTTAACTTCAGTTTAAAGCGTTGCTTTAGAAGCTTGACTTCAACTTGAAGCTTTGCTTTTGAAACTTGTCTTTAAGTTAAAGCGTTGCATTAAAAACGTGATTTCAAATTGAATCATTGATTTTGAATTTCAAGCCTCAATCCTTCGCATCTGACTTTAATGTTTAATAAACCATACCTTTAAATGACGTCAACCTAGTAAACCCAAAACATCTCCTACGCAAGAACCACTTAATGGAAATTCTAATATATTTTATTAATTTTTTTAAGAATCATTCGACATCAAATTCCAGTCCTAAACAGCTCAACATCACAATTATGACGTCAAAGTTGACCATTACGGACTCGAAACTAAATATTGAGATTCTCCAACCTTGAAAAATGTTTCCAAAAAATATGCGACTTATTCTTACGTCTTTTGACTGAATTAGTCATATGAACATGACTGAGCTACACATATCAGCCAATTAATCTTATTTATTAATTAATTCACGCGACATTGAAGAATTTTTCTCTCTTTTTTCTGTTCCTTCTCTTAAGTCGAATGTGCCTGCTTTCAGGTTGTTTAAGCAGCAAAAAAATATTCAATTTAAATAAGAGAATATTTTTGTTAATTTTAAAACTAATAATTTAAGAGATTTGTCGTTTGATCTCAGTTCTGTGCTGTGATTCTTAACATTCGGATGTGATTTTTGGAATATTTGTTTTTAAAAAATTGAATTGAGGACTTTTGGTTTCAAAAATGAGTGATGAAAGTTCAAGTTCAGACAGCGACATGAAAGTTGAAAGTATTGACGGAGATTTTGTGCCTAAATGTAAGCCGGAGAGTGATATTTGTGAGTTAAATTAGCGAAATTCAGTAAATTAATATCAAAAAAATTAGATGAAGCATTAATAAGCTATGCTGGTACATTTCAATAAGTGCATTTCACCAATCATCAAGTCAGACTTAGACCGTTGCCTACTCTAACATCACATAATGCCATATCATTGTCTGCATTATTAATTTGATGATCTTTTCGTCAATAAAACTCGTTTTGCTTCCTAAAAGTCTGTTGCATCATCTTAACGACTTACTTTTTTTTGTTGTTTTTTTAATGACTCTTAAAGTTACTTAATCCACAATAAACTATGAAATTGATACTTTTGTGACCTTATTTAATTAAATTTTTGATGTCTGTGCATTCACATTTTATACCGGAATTGGAATCTTTAACTTTTAAGGCCGCAGAGCTATAAACAAAACGTTTGCGTTACCGCCCCACGCTGGCTACCACTATAGACACACTTTGGCCAGTGATGGTCAACCTTTGTGCCGCGAAATAATTCGAGAAATCAAACGAACTGATGCAGTGCGAGGTTTCGGTCATGGTTTAACATTAAGTTGTGCCATGGCACAAAAAAGGTTTCTCACCACTGACTTAGGATATTCTCGTGGAGTAATAGAGTTTCGTTAAGCATAGCTTGAGAAGCCGTGAATTTTTGGATGTGATTCTAATTAAGAACAGGCTTTATAATGTGACAAGTCTTCATAAAATTAATTTTTTGTAATATTTTTCCCCCTCAACAGCACATGACTGCTTTGAAAGCAAATCAATCGAACCAATAATCATACCAGAAATCAGACATCCAGAAGAATTTCAGAAGAAATCACAGCTTTGTAAAATTTTGGAAATTCACAAAGGAAATTGTCAAAATCATCAAGAATTGACAGACTTTCTTAAAGCATTGTCGGAGCTTCACGTGCGTAAAGATGTTATAGCAGCTTCTATTCAGTTTGAAGATGATTTTGGAAACTTTGGTATGAATGAGATGGAAAAATTGCCAGATTTATTCAAAAATCAATCGATTGTGATTCATTTGGCATCGAAAATAAGCTTCAATTCGTCAATTTATTGGAAGTCGAAGGAACTGAATTTCTTCCTGATGTTAAAATCATCTGAGGAAGCCAATCTAGGCGTTGACGAAGAATTTTACAAATTTATAGCAGAATTCTTAGCAAGAAGCTTAAAAGTAGGTCATTTAGGTAAGTTTAAGTCAGACACATGAGTCAATTAGGTTCAAATTGCCAAAATCTTGGGATTTGAACAATGAACACAGAAGACCAAGTTAATGTGTGCTCAGTCAGCTATTCCTGGAGTTATTTACTGAAGTCTAATTGCTTACTTCCTTGTCTGTGGCGCACGTGAACACATTGCGGCGTTCAGACATCGTCTAAAGACAGCTCTATCCTTCTAAATCCTCCACCAGTTCAGGAAATCATGAAATTATCATTTCATACTATCTTTTTCCAGGTCTCAGCACTTCATGCCAGCTCACAGCAAACAGAAACATCATCGACATCAAAGACATCGTTGACGCTAGAAACTTCAACTTACTCTTCCTAGCTTGTGAGGCAGGAAAGCTCAATATTGCTGTGTATCTATGCAAGCTTGGTATTAGCTTTAAAGTCACTGATCAGAACATTACAGCACAAGATTTAGCCCTCAAAAATGGCCATTATGACTTAATCCAAGCATTGTACGAAGAAAACTTACCACTTCCAATACCGTCATCAGACATGGATATGGATTTATATCCTGAAAAATTCATTGACTTTATAATGCTCCTTGAAGACTTCTTTCGTGCGATTGAAGTTGACGACCTGGAAAAAGTTAAAGAAGTCTACAAAAATCTCCCAAAAACTCGTCACATCTTCAATTTCTCAGGACAATCAGCCATACAATTTGCAGTAGTCAACAAAGCATTAAAGTCTTATGAGTTCCTGTTAACCCACAAACACACATTTGCACCAAACGAAGATCCAGAAGATTTCTACGAAGAACTAGAATATCCAGAACAATTTACAATCCGAGAAATCCACAACCGACATGCACAAGAGTCACCGAAGAATCACATCAACGTGCTAATGACTAAATCTTACATTGTTCATGATGTCCCAGATGTGGAACAGAAGCTGAAGATTGTTCGTCGAGCTTATAGGATCCTCAACAGGAATGTGTACATTAGAATCATTCTGATGATTGTGGCTGCATCGAAGAACTTTAAAATTATTTTTGACTTCCATCGGGAATCGATTAATGTTGCTGATCCGACTGTTGGGTCGAATATTCAAGGTAGGTTTTGGTTTTTTATGTTTGAAAAGCTAATACAGAGTTAGATCTTGTCTTGTTGGTGTCTTAAAGAGCGTTCGTCTAACTCAGGCTGTGTAAATGACTACGGAACTCTAAAGTCATTAATCAAACTGATTTTTAAAGACAAAATTTGCTTATTGTGTACTAATTTCTATTCCCAGGCATGTTCTACACATCCGGCAGAATCTACATCGGAGCCAAGCAACTCCTCGACGATGTCAGATCTCATGAAACCTTAGCAATAATCGCTCATGAGCTGTGTCACTTTGCCATCAATCTCGTCTATGGAAACAACGCAAAACCTTACAAATCTAACGACAATCAGTCAATGCAAGAGTTTGAGGAGATATCAGATCATTGTAAAGCAAACTATGCCAAAGAAGAGATCATCAAAATGGTCTACGAGTTCTATCCATCAGATGTGTATCATGCTGAACTAATAGTCAGAGTTGTGCATTTAATGGCTTTTTACTATAACGAACCACAAAAGTTGAAGGAAGTTCGTGAAGATTTTGATCCCTTGTTTGACTTTTTTGAGCTTAAGGTTGTTCCTGAGTTGAAGGAAGCACTGCCAGAGATTGAAAAGAGAGTCGACCAAGAAACTAAAATTAAGGATCAAAAAATTGTAAAATTTAGAAAATTTTCCGTTATTACTGGATTGTTGGCACTGTTTGGGGTTCTTGGTGCTGCTTTGATTGGGGTTCTGTTTTACATTCCTGATTATAAGTTTGAGTTGTTGTCTGAGGTTGATCAGAGTGTTGTTATGAATGCTAAGGTTGTTTATAAAGATGTTGAGGTTAGGTTTGATCAGTTGTTTCCTAAAGGTTCGATTGCTTATGAAAGATTGACTTCTGAGCATATTTATAAGGTACTGAAGGGTTCTAAGCTTGATTTTTGTGATCCACATTTTCATTATTTAGATGAATTAGTTGTTCATTCTTGGAGAGACATGGCAGTCAATTTGCAAGATAAAGTGCTGTCTTCTGACTTGATATTCCAAAATCAGAGCATTAAGTTTGAAGATTTACATGAATTGGCGCCAAAATCTTTCAATTTTCTAACCTCAAATGAAATTATTCAAATTTTGAATGGAAATGAAGTTAAAGTTGGCAAAATGATTAAAAATCGGACTGAATTTTATCTTGAAAGAATTTTTTGGAATGAATACCTGCTGGACATCTACAAGATTTACACAAAACAGACTCAAAACTACCTCGACTGGGAGGATGAGGGGAAGTTTAGGCAATTTTTCAATGACTTTACAACACAAAATTTGACTGATTATTTCCATAAAATTGACAATCACAAGAAGTTTAATCAAATCAAGCTATTCTTCGCAGTTAGAACTGACAATAGCTTTAATGTCCTTCAGACCTTCAAATCCTTTCATGAAAATTTTGAAATTGTCTTTAAAAATTCACAAAAATCTAAAATCTTCATTTTATCATCAGAAGCTGGAACTGGAAAAACGATCAATTTCGAGCAATTTGCTATGAAGATTAAAAGGAAGTTTAGGACTAAATGGGTGACTTATGTTGATTTAAAGGACTATACTAAGTTGTATACTGAAGATAGACTTACCAAGGATGTCCAGAAGCTAGTAAAGACAGGCAATTATACTCAATCTATAGATCCACAAGAATTTTTGTCAAAAATCCTAAACCTAACCTCAAAATCAGATTTTGAACATCAACTCTTCAAAGAATTATACAATTCAGGTCAAGTTGTGCTCCTCTGGAATGGATTTGATGAAATTTCACCAACTTACAATAAATTCATCCTCAACTTACTAGCTGCCATCCATAAAACAACCACAAACATCCAATTCATCTGCACTAGACCTCTCTACTCTAGACAATTAGCTGAGCACCTCAACATCCTCCCATACACGATAGTTCCATTCACAATTGATCAACAGACTGACTTCCTCAATAAATTCTTTATATCCAAAAAGATCAAGCTTAATAACCTTCAAAACTTCACGAAAAAAGCCCAAAAAATCATCGAAACCATCAAAGCTAAAACGTCAATAGTCAAAGTATCTCAAGATTTCAACACCCCCCTTATGCTGGAAATGATTGCAGACTTAATCACCTCAAACTCACAAATCTACAATTCAGAAAATCTCTACGAAATTTATGAAAATTTCATAAAAAAGAAAATTGAAATTTGGCGCAAAAAGAGTGAGTTCGCAGCTGAATTTCTTGGTAAATCCATCATAGAGCACCACAACTTTGACATGATTAAAATGTACCAAATGTTTGCACTCAAAAAGGAACTAAAGTCCATCAGTCCATTGACTCAAATTGTTGCTGGAAAATTACGAATTATGAGGCAAAAGATGCCAAAGAACTTGACTAGCGAGGAAATATCCAGGATGGGAATTTTGTACGTTAACGGTAAAAATGAATTTGAATTTTCTCATAAAACTTTTGCTGAATTTTTTGTTGCTCAATTTTTTATTGAGAATATTTTGAATGCTGACAATGTTGATGCTGAGGATGTTGTTATGATTTTGCATAGCTTTGAGTATTTTACTGAGTTTTATGGACTGGATCAGGTTATGGTGACCAATTTTATGTTTTCATATCTGGAGGGGAGGGGTGGGGTGCTGGTGAATAGTGGGAGTCAGGAATCTAGAAGGATTGTAGGTCAAAAATCAGTCAGCCGCAAGAATCAAGAGTCTAAGATAATTGAGAGTCAAGAATTGATAAATATCAAGGATCTAGAGTCTCTGGGCAGCAAAGGTTTACATCCAAGAAGTAGTTGGAGTCAAGAATCTAAAGATAATGACAGATTTGAACCTAAAATCAGAGAAATTTTAAGAACTAAATTTGCAAGAATCTTTTTCAATCTTTTAAGGAACAAAAGGATTGAAAACTTTAGATTTTTGTTTGAATTCTTCAAAAAAGATCAAAACTTACTTAAACAGCTGCTCAAAGTTGATGAGAATGAAACAATCTACACAGCAGCATTCAATTGCGCTTACTTTCCCGACCAAATTGACTCATTTAATAGAGAAAGTTTGAAGGAATTTGGGAAGATTTACTTGAATGATGAAGATTATGAAAGGTTTGTCAAAGGCAGGGATCAGAAGGGTGTCATCTTGTATAGCTTGTATGTATTTTATAGACAAGATGTTGGGAAGATTGGTCAGCGAAAGGTTTATCATGAAAACTATGATTTAGGCTTAAATCTCCTTGAAAATGACGATAAAATGCAAGTTTTTGAACAAATTGTCAAAAATCTAACTCGAGGTGAAGTCACGGAACTCTTAGTATCCTCATCTAGTCCTATAAACTACAAAGACTTTGAATTAATTAACAATTCTAAATTTTGGAATATTTCTCAATCTGTGCTGTCAGTTGAAGACCAGAAAGTCTTAATTTCTAATCTTTTCTATGGAATCTCAAGGTTTAATGATCCTGAACCATATCTTCCTTACCTTTTCGCTAATTCCTTAGATATCCTATCAAATCTTGAGATCCACAACATCTTCAAATCCAGAAACATTCTTCACAGAGGAATTTTAAGTTTTGACTCATTTTGGAGCTTTTTTGTGAATCAAACCACTGAAAATCAGCAAAAAGATATTCTAACCTCAAAGATTGTTGGAGAGTGTTATTACTACTACCTTTATTCTCCCAACCAGAAGTGCTTCTTCTATCCTCCATTCAATATCTTCCATATTTCTCTACTTATTCAGCATCCCAACAACCTAGAAACTCTAAAAACCTTCAATTCAGTCAAAGAAACTTATGAAAAATATTTTTCAAAATCTGAGATGCAGAACATGATTTTAGAGTCGAATGACTTCATGATTTATACTAGATTAGGTTCATATGACGTTGCTAAAGCATTTGTTGAATATTTGAAGGAATTGTTCAAAGGACATGAAGAGATGCTGAAGGAATTTCTGTTGAAGAAAATACTTCCAACTAATTTTAATATTTTTGAGTACTTTGACAATATTGGAGTGGATGAGTCAAGCCTGAATGTCCAATTGTTTGTAGATTTATTGGACTATGTAGAAAAATTGTAGATTTTTGATGAATTTTGGATTCAATAAAATTTATAAAATAATTTAAATGTTTGAGATTTTATTCTAGGGTTGGGGTTGGATGGAGTCAATTGGACTTTAGCTAATAAAAATGGAGGGGGGGGGGGGGGGATTTTATTTATAGAAAAAAAATCGTGAACAAAAATAAATGTTCTTTTCAAAATTCTAGCAAGTTCAAGAAATTTTTTCAAGAATGGGGGGATTAGACCATAGCCCCCACCGCCCCCCCCTTCTCATACCTGGCCCTCCCCAGGTACAATCAAGGATTTCCCTAGCTTATCAGTAATTCATCCATAAAACTGAAATTCTGAACCAAAACTTCTTAAAAGTCATCAAATCGTGTAAATTTTTCACATTACTGACCCCCCTCAACCTCATTATGCCTCCCTGCCCCCACCCATCATCTCCTACAATTCACATTCCAACAATCTTCAAACTTCACAGCAAAAAACTTTTTTTTTGTTCCAAAGCATCATCTCGGTCAAACTTCAAAGTTCTTGACCTTTTGACCCTCGTTTTTCACTTCTTCGACATTCAATTTTTAGAACCAGCATCTGCTTCATGTTTTCACAATTTCACAAAAAAACGAGAAGTTTATCCACAACAAATTATGTTGGCATTAATTGCAGCAAGAACACAACATAAAAAAAATAACATTTTCTTTATCGGCAAGTAATTAATTAAAAGTAATTTTTATTGCCATTCAATTGCACCGACTGACTCGGCTCATGTAATCGAAACAAGATGTAACAAATGAGCAACTAAAAGGTACGAGAATGTGGAATTGGAGATGGAGAAATGAAGAATTTAATTGAACTTAGCGATGTTGTTGGATGTGAATGTGGAAAGACATAAAGGTTTCGTGCATTATTTTTTCTGTTGGGTTTTTGGATATAAATTAAGATTAATCATGTGATTTACTAATTGAGACTGGATGTTAGCACGAGTTTGATGTGAGATTGGGGATGTTGCAGTTATGTTGCATGGGAAACTTGAAAAAATTACATTTATGGGAATTGCTGTGAACTTTGAAGGAGGATTTGCAGTTTATGGTTCCTAAAAGAGTAATTTAAACTTAAAGGCACAATTTCTTTGTTTCGATGACCTAACAGTACAATTGTGATCAATGGCTTTCATCAGATGCCGTCTAAAACTAGCTCTATCGCTGGCTCCCGCTTGACAATTTCCTGTACCAAACGCTATACTCAGGCATCAAATTGGATCATCAGTGAATTAATACCAAGTCAATAGAAGTCTATATGCAGCTCTAAGACAGCTCTAAGACTGATTGTGGTGTTTAGAGACTATTCCTATGCAAAACAGAGACCCGAGCAGGAATTAAGCAATCAAATTGGATTAAAAAACTCAGTTCTGGTGCCTTAAAAGCATCCCAACGTATTCTTGACATCAAAACTGCATACCGATGCCCAAACAACGAACTTCGACCACTCAGAAGAGTCAACTACCTTAAATCTTCAACATACAAATTTCTATCTTTAAATATTCTCAAAAAACAACAAAAAAAAACTCCACTCAAGAATGAATAATATCAACAAAAAGTGGACGGAGAAGCTGACAACAGCACAAAAAACTACTAAAATTTATTGCTTTTAATTTGAGATGATGCAAAGTGGATTGGAGAGTGAGGAACATATTTCATAGAAAATTATATTTCAAGGACGTAAAGGATTTTTCAAATTTACGAACACAAAAAAGGGGTTCGGGAAAATTTTCTTTAAAATTAATCGATTTTCATTTTTCAATCTCTAGTTTTTTTGGGGAACTTGAATAAGGAAGAATGTCTTGAAATTAAATTTTAAGAAGTAAAATAAGGGATGAATAAATCATATGTGGGTTAGTAGGGGATGTAGATGCTGAGGATTTGTTGAAGTTTTGTGTAGTATTTAGTGATGCTGCTTAATTTTGGACTACAATGCGTTTATCAAGCTACAAAGTCACAGTCCTGAATGGCTTTAGTCAGTTGATCGATCAGAAATTCGGCAGCAGGCCAGTGTGACTCTGGCATGGTGCTGGATTTGAATTGAAGCCAGCAGTTGTTCCAGCTCCTGAATGAGTAGCTTCTAGGTTATTGAAGCTCAAACTTTCCTGTGTTGCCGGGCAAAGCAAGATTATTTTGGTGCTGGGAGTGGAACAGGTAAAGTTTTTTCTTACTTCTTGTTCTTAAAATCATGGAGAACCATAAAGGTGAAAATAATCATGTTAAAGCATCAGATTTGGTGTTGCCAGCTTCAGGTGTATAAATCATGTTCAAAGACGAATAATTTTACATGTGACCAGTCTCAATGCTAGCTTAAAAACCAAATTCATGTGCAAATCTAGTTTTAGACCCCAAATCAGATCCCAATCGGCATGACATCGGTTCCAAGCTAGCTTATTCACCAACTTATCAATAAAGTTCATTATAATCGTGCAGTTATGGTCTGTTCCTGGTGTAATGCACTGACTAGCTAATATGTCGATTCTACCTGGAATAAAACTTCAAAACTAAAAAATGCTAAAAAGTCATTAAAAGAATTTTTTTTTTCAAATTAATCAAAACACAAAATAAAATTTAATTAAAAAACTTTTATTTATTTTTCAATTTTCCATTTCCTTTACAACTCAATTTTTCACACTTTATTTAACTTTTCACATATTTTTCCATCCTGGTCACAGTTCACACTCGGTCCATAATAAATTAAGAAGATAAATGAGAAACTTGACCATTCCATTTTTACTTCTTAAAAATTATCTATTCTTAACCAGATTCAGTTCCTTTACATTATTTTCATCTCCTCATTCCCATATGAACACATTGCATGCTTATTGTGATGATAATCATCTCCTGACAACATCCTTTTATTAATGCATAGAAGAAGATTTGGTAAGAAAAAGGAACCCTTCTCACATTTCAAAAAAGATGTTGTTTTAATAAATATTATTTTATGCTGAATGATGTGATATGGTTATTGAGAATGTAAGTGAGAGTATTGTCCTTAGGGGAACTGTTGGAATTGAAGATATTTTTTTTTTGATATTTATTTGAGGTTATGTGATGTTGTGTATGGCAACAATTTGGATTACATTTGAATTTAAAGCAATTTTGAAAAGATTCAAATATTTTACAAAACTTGAAAGAATTGAGAATTTAAACAAAAATTTTAAAAAATGAAAAAATTAAAAATAAAATACAAAATTTGAAAAATCTGAAAAAAATTCAAAAAATTGGAGAAAATTTAAAAAAGTTTAAAAAATGAAATATATGAAGAATTCAAAAAATTTAAAAAATCCAAAAAGTTTAAAAAATTTTTAAAAATTTTAAAACACTTGAATAAAATTCAAAAAATTCAAAAATTTTAAAAAAAACCCTTTTAAAATTTTTATAAAATTTAAAAAAATTTAAATTATTTGAATAAAATTCAAAAAGTTTTAAAAAAAATTAAAAAATTTTGAAAAAATGCTTTAAAAAAATTTCAAAAAAGAAAATTAAAAAAGTTGAAAATAATTGATTTTTTTAAAAAGTATGAATTGCAAGTTTTTGAAATCATCAAAAAAACTAGATAAATTTCTATAAAATTTCAAAATCATCAACATTGATGAGTCTATTAAAGCTGCACATTCTGCCAAAATTACTACAAATTAAACATCTCATAAGACTCCCCCAACCCCTCTTTTGTATCATATCAACAATCCTATCCCAAACCGACCATAGACACTTATAAATACAAAACTACAAAATTTCACATCTTCAAAAGTATTCAATCCCAACCCCCAAAAAAAGTGAGACATAAAAGCCAGAAAAAGGCACCCAAACACATGCCTTTGTGACACTTTTGTAGATGATAAATAATTTTTGTGGTTGAGACGGAAGCAAAAGACGAAGAAGAAAATTGAAACTTGAAAATTTTGTGGCATTAAGAAGTCCCCCCAACCCCCGAACCCTCTTAAAGATTTTAATTGTTGACTGCTTTAAATAAATTTATCATTTTTGAATAGTTTTGCTGGATGTGCCAAATGGAAAGTTGTCCCACATGTCATAAATTATTGATTTTTATTTTGTTGAGGAATTGAAAATGAGGAAAACTTTTATCTCAAGTTGGATGTCCTCGAGGAGATGAAAAGGTCACAAAATGACACTTGATACATGCAAATTAATCTTTTTAATTTGTTTTTTGTTTCTTTTGGGCATGAAATTGAGATGATTTGGATGGAATTGTACATAAAGGGGGTTTAGAGGTATGAGAAGATATTCTTGAACAGTTTCTGGACTAATTCTGAGTTTTCGGTATAAGAATGATGAAGTTTTGATGTCTTTTAGCTTCAATCTAGTCAAAGTGAATGAAAACTAGCTTTAGCTTGCTAGTAACAAACCTCTCTAGAGCTAGTTAATGTGATGCGAACGCTGGAGATCCGAGAAACCTTTAGAGAGTCATTCAAACCTTCAGGAGACTTTTTTAACTTTAAGAGGCTCAACAAGAGTTCTTAGAACCCGTCAAACCATCCAAGAGTATCCATTGACCACTTTAGAAGTTTATAGAATTTTTGGAGATCCTAGAAAGCCTCGATGAATCACCAATAACCTCATTAATCTCCTAACAACCTCATTAAGCTCCCTCCAGCCTCTATGAACCCCAAAAAAATAATTAAATCACATTTTGAATATTTAAGATGCAAAAACACCAACAAAAACTTAAAAATATTTTTTTCCAATTTTTCCAATCAAAGAAAATCAAGTGTAAAATTATTTGCCACGCCTTAAAAACTTTTCACAAAACAAACAATTTATTTTCCATCGACAAAATTCGCTTAAACCAATTTTTTCACATTTATTGAATTTTTTCCAATTTTATTTTCCAAAATTCTCACAAATTCACATAAAAAAATATTGTATACACACACATATATTTATGCTTATCACATGAAGCACACAGCACAGCAAAAAAGAAGAAAAAAATTTCCACCTATGAGAACTCTTTTCCATGCTCGAG